CAGTTGAGTGTCTGACTTGGTTTCTGCTCAGGTCATGATTTCAGGCTTGTAGGATCAAGGTTCAAGGTCTGAGTCAGGCTCTGAGCTCCTCAAGGCGTCTGCTGCAGTTTCTCTTTCCCTCTCATTCTATCCCTCCTCATGTTCACTTATGCATGCGCCGGAGTGAAAACACGAGGCATACTTTCACTTGTTCTCTCAGCTGTATCCCTTAAAGTCGTGTTTTCAGTCATTCTCTCTCAAATCTTTTTTAAAAAAATAAATAAATAATAAACATTTCAAGTAGAGATTTCAAGGAAACAGCTGGATAGATGATTCTGAGTTCAGGGGAAAAACCAGGAGGATGTTATAAATTTGCGTGGCATGAGGGGCGCCTGGGTGGCTCAGTGGGTTAAAGCCTCTGCCTTCGGCTCAGGTCCTGATCCCAGGGTCCTGGGATGGAGCCCCACGTCAGGCTTCTGGCTCAATGGGGAGCCTGCTTCCCCCCCCGTCTCTCTGCCTGCCTCTCTGCCAACTTGCAATCTCTGTCAAATAAATAAATAAAATTAACTTAAAAAAAATTGTGTGGCAGGAGAATAAATGAGATGACCAAGGGAGTATAAAGAGAGAAGACCAGAGCACCCAAGGATGAACCATAGGCCTTACAAAATTGAGACATCAGGGAGAAAGGAAGAACCATCCCTGAGGAAATTTAAGAGAGCTAGTATTCATAAAGGCAACTTTAAAAAAAAAAAAAAAAGTATTCCAAAAAGGAGTGACCAGCTATTTCAAATGTAATAACCGATCAATTAAAATTAAGACTATGAATTGATCCTGGATTTAGCTACATAGAAGTTACTAGTTATCTTGAAAACAATGACTTCTGTAAAGAGTAAGGATGAAAGATTGAAGGGAGTTTAAGAGAGAAGAGAAGTACATTTGGAGTAAGAATAATTAACTCTTTCCAGATGTTTTTCTGCAAAGGAATGTGTTATAGCTGGTGGGGAAAGTAAGTAAAAAAATATGTTTTTACTATAGGGGCAACTGGGTGGCTCAATCGTTTAAGCGTGTGCCTTCGGCTCAGGTCATGATCCCGGGGTCCTGGGATTAAGCCCCACATCGGGCTCCCTGCTCTGCAGGAGGCCTGCTTCTCCCTCTCCCATTCCCCCTGCTTGTATTCCCTCTCTCACTATTTCTCTCTCTCTCTCTCTCTCTATATATATATATATAGATCAAATAAATAAAATCTTTAAAAAAAAAGATACATTCATTAAAGAGTGTGTGTGTGTGTGTGTGTGTGTGTGTGTGTGTGTGTTTACTACAGAGAACAAATTGATGATTACCAAAAGGGAGGTGGGTAGGGGGATGGGTGAAACAGGTAATGGGGATTAAAGAGTACACTTGTCATGATAAGCACTGGGTGATGTATGGAAGTGTTGAAGCACTATACTGTACACCTGAAACTAATATAACCAGTATTTTAATATATTATAGGAATTAAATTTTTTTTTAAAAACCACAGGGGCACCTGGGTGGCTCAGTTGATCAAGCATCTGCCTTTGGCTCAGGTCCTGATCCCGGGGTCCTGGGATGTATCCCAGCAGGCACTGGGTTCCCTGCTCAGTGGGGAGTCTGCTTCTCCCTCTCATTCTGCCCTCCCTCTCCTACTCGTGTTCTCACTAACTCTCAAATAAATAAAATCTTTAAAAAGTAAGTAAATAAAATTAAAAATTTTAAAACACAATAAATAAATATTATTTTCCAAAAATAAAAGAAATATGTTTTATGCTGATAGAAACATTTTCGGAGGAGCAAAATACTGATGCAGAATAATTCCAAGAGCAACATCTTTGAGGATATAAGGAGTAGGATCTAGAGCACAAGTGGATTGGCTTTACATTGAGCAGATTTACCTCTATGGTGACAAATGGGAAGATGAGAGCAGATGGGTGCAAATGCTGGTAGGAGGGTAGATACTGTGGGAGTTAGAAGAAGTCTTCCTCTGATTGTTCAGTTTTCTCAGGAAAGGAGGAAGCAAGGTTACCTATCAGGTGAGAGTAAGAATGGAAGATGTTTGGTAGATTCTTAGAAAAAAAACAGGATAAGAATTAACTCTATAGAAAAGTAGAGGAGTGAGGGCATTAGTGATCCAGCAGAATAGAATACTCACCTAGGGAACGCATGTATATGGGAAAGAGGAGAGGTACAAGATCATGTACACAAAGGTCCACCATGCACACAGGGAATGTTTAACTAGATTTAACTAGATTTAGCACCACTTTCTTTGTCCAAAATAATCATAAGGCCCAGAATTTTAGGATGAAACTCTTCTGTTAGCAAAGCATTGATTTCTGTTGTTAATGGAAACAACAAAAGGAAAATTCACCTTCATTGTTAAGGGAATCTGTCCTTTCTTTTATCATTTTCAGGCTATTTTTATTATTTTCTGTTTGGTTTCTTCTACAGTCTCACTATAATGCACAGAGAGAGATTTCATTTTGTGTATTTATTTGGTATCAGGCTTCTTAAATCTATGAGTTGGTATCTTTTAGCAGTTCTAGAAAATTCCCAGCTATTATCTCTTAAAATAATAACTCTATCATATTCCAAGAAAATTATGTTAGCCTAGTCCTTGTCACTTCATCTTCCATTTTAATACTTTTTATATTGTCCATTTATTTGCTCTCTGTGTTGCATTCTGGATAACTTCTTCATAGTCTCATTTTCTCTTGAGTTGTATCTAATCTGTAGTTAAATATGGATTTTTTTTTTAAGATTTTATTTATTTGACAGACGGAGATCACAAGTAGGCAGAGAAGCAGGTAGAAAGAGAGGAGGAAGCAGGCTCCCTGCTGAGCAGAGAGCCCGATGTGGGGCTCGAGGCTCCCTGCTGAGGACCCAGGATCCTGGGATCATGACCTGAGCCGGAGGCAGAGGCTTTAACCCACTGAGCCACCCAGGCGCCCCAAATATGGATATATTTAAATGAGCTCTTTTGTTTAATTACTGGGCTTCTTTCTTCCTTTCTAGAAGAAAATTTGCTTCTTTTAAAATTTACCTTGTTGTTTTCATGGTATTTTGCTCCCTGTATTTTGTTCAAGATATATCTTTAAATTTTTGTCTGATAATTTCATTATCTGAAGTCCTTTAAAGGTGTAACTCTTCTGTTATTATTTCTGCTGGTTGTCATTGTTGTGCCTTGTTTCCACTTAACATCAGTTATTTTTGACGAAGGGCTTCTCATTCTTTGAGGCCTGGAGTTTAAGGTGAGTTCCTCCAGAAAGGAAATCTACATTTTTTGGAAAGCTACTAAACAAGAGAGGCTCTTTATAGAAATAGAAATATATACTATTTTATAAATATATAAAGCATATTTCTACTTATATATTCTCCAGTAAGAGTATACTGAGCACCTAAAACAGACAAGTCCCTTAACTTTAATGGCTCTGAATATAATTTGCCTTAGTCCCTCTAGGAACTGGAAGCATTGCAGTCTAATGGAAGACTCAAGAGTTTCACATTCTACTTCATAGCATCAGTCAGGGGTACAAGATGTGGTAGGTTCTGTGACTCCATGCTGGTAGCCACCATGTGATTTTTGGAGCATCCTCCTAATAAACCGAAGTTTTAATCCCAATACAGCAGTTATCTCAGAGAAAAAAAGTTTTCCCTATCATCCAATAATAACTGAATTTTAGCAATGCATAAAGAAAACTTTCTCATTCAAAATTTTGAATCCATAAAATTTTAAACAAGGATTATTTATGCTAAATGCTTTCCTTTTTTTTTTTTCCCTATAGACAAGTACAATACAAGAGAGACAAAACAGGCTGAAAAATAGACAAGTGCATCCATCTGCACAAACATCATTTTCACCCCAGCAAGTACTTTACTTGGGGAAAAGTGGTAGGATCCCCACTCAGCTAAATCCATCTGCACAACAAAGATCTGGAGGCTCCCAAGCCCATTTAAATCCCACTGGTCCAAAGAGATCTCCAAAGATAAAATCTAGTCAAAGCTCTGCTGTACAACAAAATAATCAACAACTCTCAAATAATCCAAATTTTCCAGTTAAACCAAGATCTAGAACTACGAAATCTGATGCAGGTAAACCTGCTCAAAAGTTAATTAAAAGTAATAAACCTCTCACGGATACTTACACTCATTCAAAAGCAGAGCAATCCAAATTTCCTTCATCCCAAAGAGATGTTAAGCCCAAAACTAAGCTAAACCTTTTAAGTAACCCAAGAATACCTAAACAACCAAAATTTCAGTCAAAACTATCTGAACAAAATCAAAATAAACACACAAAAGAACGGCATGTTACAAAGAGAAATTACCTAAATGGAATTAAAAACCATCAATTTAGCCAACGAAAAACTAGTCAGAAATCTACACATCAAAAAAGCCACCAACTCCAAAATAACATGGATATTACAGCTCACAATAGATGTACCAATACCAAATCTTATCTACTCGAAACTCCTAAAGTATTACCAAAGCAATCTAAATCTCCCTCCAGTGTAAATAACCAACAGAACTCAGATTTGATGAAGTTATCTGCAGCTTCAACTGGTAAAAAATATAGCCAACGTCAAACAAGGCAACACACATTAGGTCCACAGAAAACATATGGTAAATCAAAATTTCCAAAAAATAAAACCATGAAGCAACATGCCAGTACTCAAATAAGAACTACTTTACAAAAGCACACTAGCCAGAGACAATATAATTTCAATAATTCCCAAACAAAACACACCCCATTATCAAAACCTAAGCCCAAACCTGACAGACAAAACAAACCTAAAGAGACAAAACAACAAACCAGTAAGTTGAGACCTAAGAAATCTAGGCCTAGAAACCATCAACTTGGTCAGTCAAAACCTAATCAAATATCTCTTTCACAAAAAAGGAGCCACCAACCACAAAATAATACAAAATTAACAACTAACAAAAAATCTAGCAAATTTAAATCTCATACTGGCAAATTACCTAAAGAATTACCAAAGAAATCAAAATCTCCCATGAGGACTATTATTCAGCAGAACACAAGCCAAACCAAAGTATCTTCATTTTTACGTGATCATCAACAAGCAAAGCCACAGATATCAGGCCAGCAAAAAATACCCAGCCAACCAAATCATCAAAAGAATACAGTTATTAAACATCATCAGGTAAGAAATTCTACAAAAAAGCAAAATGACCAGAGGAAAGGCCATTTCAATACTACCGAAATAAGAAAGACTAGACATTCTAAGCCAAAAACAAAAGCAAATGGACAAAAAAGGCTAGTGAGAACGACACCTGGACCTCATTCTTCCGGTCAACCAAATTCTCATCAAAAATCTCCTATACCACAAAGTAGCCAACAAATGCAACAAAGCCCCAGGAATTCAACAGCTCACCAAAAATTTAAAAGAACCAAATCTGACCAAAGTAAAAAAACTTCTAAAAAATTAGCAAAGAGATTCCAATCTCATTCTATTACCAATGTTCGACAAAACTCAAAACAGTCTAAATCATCTACATCTTCAACTGGTAAGAGAACTGGTCGATGCCAACCTAAACTACAAAAAATAGTTGATCAATCAAAACTTCATAAAAATATAACTATCAAGCTCCAATCCAGTCAAACAAAAACTGCAGTACAAAAGCAAACCAACCAGAGAAAACATCATTTCATTATTTCTGAAATCAAACAAACTCCAATCTCAAAACCTAAGGCTAGAGAAAATAGAAACAACAGAAGTAAGAAGGTAAAGCAGAAAACTGGTCAACATAAACCTGACCTAACTGGACCCCAACATCACCAACCTGGTCAACCCAAACCCGGTAAAAGAAATTACATACAAAATGTCAACTCTCTCCCAAATCACATGAATTCAACAGCTCCCCCAAAAGTTAATAAAACCAAATCTCTGCAAAGAAAAACAGTTAAAAAATTTCCAAGAAAACCTAAACCTCACTTTATAACCAAAGTTCAGCAAAATCCAAAAAGATCTAATTCACCTGCAGTTTTAGTTGGTAAAGGAGATAGCCAGCACCAAACTAAACCACAAGCAGTAGGTTCACATAAAATATATACTCTATCAAAGCCTCATAATAATACAAACAAGGAACGACAAATTAGTCCAAAAAAGACTCCTATACAAAAGAAAATTAACCAAAGGAAATATCATCTAAGTGCTGCTGAACAATCTAGAAAGCTGAAACCTGTTGAAAACAGACCAAAAAGAACCAAAAAGGTAAAAAAGCAACCTGGCCAACAGAGACCTGTGTGTAGACACTGTCCATATGGCCAATCAAGACCTCTTCAAAAATCTCCTGTGCTACAAAATAGCTACCAACAACTCTCAAATCATAGGAACTCATCAGCTCTTAAAAAACCTAGAATTATCAAATATCAGCCAGGCAAAACTACTAAAAAGTTATCAAAGAAACCTAAACCTTCCTGTAGGAACAAATTTCAACAAAAGCCAAAAGTACCCAAACTACCTTCAATTCTGAATGGTCCAAGAAAAGGTCATAGTCAAACCAAACTACAACCATCAAGTCCCAAGAAAACATCCAGCCAAAAAAAACTTCATAAAAATCCAATCATAAAGCAACAAATAAGCCAAGTAAAAACTAGCCCAAATATTCCCAAACATCACCAGACTGGGCCCTCAAGGCATCATTTGAGTAAACCAATAAGAAAACAATCTGGCCAAAGAAAACCTAAGGCAAAAGCAACCAAGCAAAAGAAAAGCAGCAAGGCAAAGAATCCACCTTGTTATTTAAGACCTCCCCAACCAGGTCCTCAGCTTCATCTCCCTGGTCAACCAATACCTAGACCAAATGTGCCTTCACTCCAGCATCCTGCTATACAAAAACAACACCCTAACCCACTTTATCTTCATCTACATAAACCCATCCAACATCCTGACTCACACAAACACTGTGGAAAGCAACCAGGTAAAAAGCCCCAACTTCGCCCATGCAGATCTGGTCAAAAACCAGCACTGAAACCTAAACCTGGATTTCGGCAGCATCATCCAGGGGTACTTCACACCACACAACCTGGAAAGCTGCCAACAAACCTTAACCCAACAACCTCTAAAACTGTATCCTCAGGACTGTTTTTAGTGACCACCAAAGCTTCTGCAGCCATTTCACCTGCATCAACTAGCAGAAAGTCCACCATAAACTCACTGGCCTCTATCACCAAATCTTCCCCAACTTCTAATCCAACAGCTATAGCCACAAAATCTACTATTTCCACCAAACCTGTGACTAATACTCCCAAATCCTCCACAACTGCCAAGTCAGCAGCCCCTACCACCAAATCTTCCAGCACTCATAAACCTTCTACACCAATCACTACACCTATTATCACAACCAAAGTTATCTCCTCCACCAAATCCATCACCAGCTCTAAGCCTGCTGCCTTCATAACCAAATCCACAACTTTAAAACCTGTGATTTTTACTATAAAACCGACTACCTCTACTGAGCCCGAAGCACCCACCAGCAAACTTACTACCACTATTAATACTGTAGCTGACACCAGTTCATCTGCCACTATATCACTCAAACTGACTGAAATTCCAAGTTTCTCTTCCACCAACCCTTCTACTACAAAATGTGCCCAAATGACCAAATCCGTAGGGAAAACTACTAAATCCCTTCCTACTACCACGAAGGTCATCAAGCCTACCAGCTCAGTAACAACTCCTGCTTCTAATTTCTCAACAATTGTGACAAAAACTACACCCCCTCTCACAAAATCAGTTTCCCAGTCTATAGTAACCACCACTATACCTGCTAGTACCACTGCTTCAACTGCCAGCACAGCCACACTGTTTTCGTTCACCACTACCGCTCTGGCCGGAAGCACCTTAAGAGCTGCAGATCCTACACAGAGGCCAGCCACAAACACGGCTTCTCTCCCTACAGCATCACCAAGACACACATCTGCTGCCACTCCAGCTGCCCCTACCACATCTGCCCCCAAAGTCACTTCACCCCCTCTTCCCACAAAGGATGCTCCCAGCAAAGCAGGTCTCTCTGCCACATCTGCTGTTTTTAACACTCTTGCTCCTTCTACCTCCTCTTCAGCTGCTTCTACCTCCATTACCAAATCTTCTCTCTCCCCCACGTCTGCTGCCACCAATCCCACATCCACTGCTGAGGACACTGCAACTCCCATGGCCCCAGCACAGGTTTTCACCAGCATGCCTGCTGCTATTAGAACAATAACCACAGTGATCACCCCTGACACAACCATGGATCTTACTTCCACCACTATCACTATCCCTGATACACTGCATGTGACTACCAGAACAGATGCCACAGCTTCATTCACGGACACAACCCTCGTCACTGCACATGTTACATCAACATCTGACGCCAGCACACCTGATGACACTACGTTTGATTATCAACCTGACCCAAGTGACTTCACCTCTGCTACTTCCTATACCCCACCTGCCACCACACAGTCCTCCAGCTCCAAAGATGTGCCCCTGGCCACACCCACTGCCACTACAGCTGTTTCTACTGCTCTTCCTACAACCACCTCTACGACTATCACGGATCTGGTCACCATCCTGCCTGCTGCCTCAGATACTTCCACTCCTTTCAGCACCATTCAAGCTGCCACCTCCACAGCTGTGCTTCCAACTACAGCTGCTGCCTCCACTATCTCTGGTGTCACTAGTCAATCAGCTTCATCTACCTCACTTGGAGCAGCAGCATCCACAAGTATCACTTCTGCTGCCACTAATATGCTTGCCATGACCACAGAGGCCCCTACCACAGCTTCTTCCAGAGCCACTCCCTCCTCTGCTGCTTCTGTCACCACCCAAGCTGCCACAAATGTGTCTGCTCCTCTTAGCACCACACAGGTGACCACAGCTACAGCCCTCCTCCCCATCTTACCCACTGAAGCCACCAGCACTTCCCTCGCCAACACCACCACTGCTGTTTTTGACACTTCCCCTCAGGCTGCTGCAATCACTTCTCCAACCCCCATTCCTGCTCCTTCCACCCCAGGTGTCTCCACCCCTGCTGCCACCAGAACTTTATCAGCTTCTTCCACATCTTCTAGCACGCGGCCAGCTTCCATCACATTTCTTGCCCTCAGTGCATCAACATCCACTGCAACCACAGGTGAAACCGCTGTGAATGCTATTTCCACTACTTCATCTGACTCCTCTGCTCTTCGCTCTACTACCACAGAAGACACCACAACTTCTTATACTGACACTGTACCAAGGACCCTGCTCACCACAGATGATATGGCAACACTGAGCTCTGGCATATTCGATGACACTACTACCGACTATGACCTTGACACTACCACTGTTGCCTCTGTCACCACTCTTCCTGCCACAACCTCTTCAGTTCCTCCTACCGCCTCAAAGCCCAGCACCACCACTGATGATCACTCCAGCTCCCTTGCTGCCACAACCATTTCTTTTCCCTCTTCCACTACACAGTCTGCCACTATTAGTTCTGCCATCACCACAGCCGCCACAGCCATGTTTGCTCCTGCAACAACCACTGCATCTCTGACCACAACAGCAGCTGAGGCCACTAATATTTTGGTTTCTTCCACCACACTTGAAGCACCTCCAGCAACATCCACAAGCACCACATCCGTGGCCACCAACAATCCTGTCATGACTGCAAAGGATGCTGACACCACTGCTTCCACACTGATTTCTACCACAATCACATCTGTTGCCTTTACATCAGCCTCCACCTCTACTTACCTTGCCACCTCCAACAGCTCTCCTTCTAACACAAGCACTTCTGTCTCGTCTTCCACAGCCAGGATATTATCCTCTACTTCCGCCAGCACATCATTTACAACCACAACAGCTTCTGCTCCTTCTTCCACCACTCAGGCTGACACCACCGCTTCTGCCACCACCACACCTGCCCCTACCTCCCTCCCCATAGCCACCTCCAGCCTGACTACTATGGAGCCCATCACCTCCACGGCGGTCTCCTCCTCACCACCTGCTACCATCACCACAAGTACTCCTGGCCTCCCCAGCACCTCACAAAGTGCCGCTACCATGGCTCCTCCCGCCAGCTCATCCACTGCAGCCGCCAGCATGGCTCCAGCCAGCTCAGCGCCTTCTCCTTCTTCATCCACCACACGGTCTGTCTCTACCAGTTCTGCTCTCACATCTGCCCCTACCACACCTACCACCACAACCACCACTGTCACAAATGTTGCCACCTCCACAGCTGAAGGCAATTCCTCATCTGCTGCCACTGTCACACCTCTTACAACAAGCACACCTGCCCCTTCTACTTCCGCACAGTCAGCCATCAACACAGCTGCGCTCTCAATCCCCTGTGCTATGAGCTCCATCCCTGCCACTACAACCATTTCTCCCTCAACCACCACTCAGGCTGACACCACGACTTCTGCCACTGTAACACTTGCCTCTACCTCTCTCCCCATAGCCACCTCCAGGGTGACTACCATGGAGCCCATCATCTCCACTATGGTCTCTTCCTCATCACCTGCTACCATCACCAGAAGTATTTCTGCCCTTCCTCGCACCCTACAAAGTGCCACTAGCACAGTTCCTTCCACCAGCTTACCTGCTGCAGCCACCACCACAGCCATCCTCACTACTCTGACCAAATCTTCTTCCTCAACCACACAGAATGTCTCTACTACTTCTGGTGCCACATCTGTCCCTACCACATATGCTCCCACAACCACCACTGTCACCAGAGAGACAAGCACCACACCCAGTCTCTTTTCAACATCAGCTGCCACTATATTTTCTGAGACAACTTCTTCTACCACTGGGGAATCTACCCCAGCATCTACAAACACTATACACACTGCCACTCACAGCACCATGGTTACTTCAACTAATCCCACCACACCGGCTTCTACAACCACTCCTGTCACTTCTATAGGCAGACAGGTTGCCACTGCCACACCTGGTCTCACCACCAGGTCTGCTGTTATAAGCACCACAGCTACAGCCACAATGACTTCAGTTCTCCTAACCACCACCTCTGGTGCCTCAACCACTCCTTCCTTTAGTATCTCACCAGCCCCCACCATGCCTGTTGCCACTACAGCAGCAACCACAGCAGCACCCTACATCACTTCAGCTGAGGCATCCAACACACCTGTTTCCAACAAAGAGAACATTCCTGACACCCCCAAGACTCCTTTCCGTATTACTACAGCTACTTCCTCCACGCTTGATGACACTGACCCTCCTCATACACCAACTCCAACTATTATGACAACCAATACTATCATCACAGCTGATGACACTTCAACACTTATCCCCAGCACATTTTATGAAACCACACTTGATGGTAATGATGGTACCACTGAGAATAACACAAATGAACCCACCTCAGATGATTTTTACAGAAACTGAGACTCAAACTTAATCATCTTCTATAGCCCCCACTACTTAGACCATGATTTACATGGGTTAAATTTCTGAACCAAATTTAACCTCAGACAAAAATCTTAGACCTACTACTCTTTCAAACACACTAAATTTTCTTCTAGTTAAAAATATTTTCATTCTATTCCTAATATAAAGGAAACTTAAAGAGAATCGGTGTATTTCATTTCAGTACACAATCATTTCTATTACCTATGAAATTAAGACTTATCTTTAAATAGTACAAATTATGATGACTTTTTCCTAAAATCTATACCCAAAAGAAAGACTTAAAGAAATTACACCTAAACATTAATGGTGCTTGTTTTGGTGGATGAATTATAGATGCCTCAGGACTGGGACAGAATGCAATCATATTTGACCAAAGAAATCCCTTTAGACAAACATCTTATCCAACACCTCTTTCTAAACTTACCCAATTCTCCGTATCACCCAGTGAATTCTATAAATGTGCTCTGGACTTGATAAATACCCATACATCCACACATGTAAATCTTTAAGAAATATAAACAACCCTAAAGTAATCAAACTGCCAGCAAGATAATTTATGAAGAAAAGTTAATAAGTAACTACTTACCAGTTATTAGTACCACAAAGACATGCTAAATAAAAGAGTCTTTATCCATTAAAGGAGCAATAACAATGTGTAAACAAATCAAAAGGATCTAACATTGTTGTCTGAAAATCAATACTGACCACAGGAAATGCAGAATGCAAGCAATCTGAGGTCCCATTCACATGAGACTGGGCATAAACATGCACATGGCTACTGTTTACCCTGTGTTCATTTGAGTGATGAGATTAAAATGTTGTCCAGAAAGAATAAGCTAGAAGCAGTAAAAATTTAATGAAAATGAAAACTAATGTTAGAAAATTGAAAATATATTATTAATGAGATTTTAATTTTATTTCCAACAGTATTTGGACTCTGAGAAGATAATTTTTAAAATTAATTTGTAGTTTTGAGGAATACCAGGCACAGATTAGTCATTCATTCAAAATTATGAAATGGATAAAGGTAACCTTTTACAAGGTGATGATATAATGCTAAAATGAATTAAATGATTTATACATAAGAAAATTTGACATAGAGTATATTATTCTTTACCCTACAACTGTGTTTCTATGAAGTCTTATGAAAGTTAATTATTTTTAGTAAAAGCATATTAAAGGCACTAAAAATGCCTAGCATATAGTGTATTTTAAATTATAATAATTACTTAGTAATATGAAAAATCACGTTTTTTTTAATCTGCTGGGCAGCCTTGAATTTCTACTCATGGCATTTGCTTAAAGAGTTATCAAGGCAAGTATCAAATAAGTAATCATAAATTCACTCCCAAAGACTATGATTGTGTATCTTTCAGAGAGCAAACGTAACAGCAACAAGCACTAAAAATTTAATTCAAAGCCCTTTATTTAAGCATGAAGTACAATAAAGGTCTTTTTTAATAAACAATGTATATTAACACTACCAAAAAGAAGTAAATGCTTGCCAGTGATGGGAAAGACCTAACAAAAAAACCCTCTTTTTTCCTTTCTCTAACTAATAAATGTTTGAAATGATCATTTCTTTCTATTTATTGTACATAAAAGAATCAAAGAGCCCCTCCATTTCAATTAAAAGGATATGTATGATAAATGCATGATTAGATCTAGCCACACATAAAAGAAACAACTCAGATGCATTTCCAATACTTCCTTTTTATGCTTACAACTCCTCAGTCTGGACAGATAATTTGACTAGAATATATGCCTGCATATAGAAATTGGATGTAAGATACTTCCCACATTTTCCAGGTGAGAGGACACCCAAAAAGCTTCTGAAGTTATGAACTAAAATAAAAAACTTCTAAAGATGTAAATGAAATTATCATATCCTACTCATAATATTTATTTAGTTATATATGTTTAAAATCGTACATTATATGGAAAAAGATTAATTTTTAAATAATGCTCCTTTCTGTTCTCACGTTTCATATAATTTTCTTCAAACTCTTCAGCTTCATCTTTGATGCACCATGAAATACATCTTATATCATACACACACTATTTTTATTATTTAATGCTAGTCACTCACCACTAACGTGCCACAACACACAGTTTGGAAAAATACTGCCTTAAGAGTTACATTTGAGCTACACTAATGAATTATCCAATGAGCATGAGTCACAAGCTACAAGAGCCATTACCAAGACGTTGGGAATTTAGTTTTCTCAAAATGATTTTTCCCCTTTTAATCACCTCTCCCTTTCCATCTAGTTTCTAGTCTTCGAGTCTGAATTGGCAGAATTGTCCTCCTTTCCTTGCTATCTGGTCTCCAGATCTTGGCCAGGCAAACCTGACTCCATTTTTCTCTGGAACAGACTTGCACTATAATCATCAAACCTATTTTGACCCAGATTCCCATTTCAACATTTTCAGTGAAGAATTTTCAATTACTCTTCTGATCCTAACAGTTCTTTGTCTCACAATTAGTTGTCTTTGGTTGTAAATGGTGCCTGGACGCCAATAAACTCTGCAGAAGCCAAGAGCCTCTTCCCATGTCAAGCCAGGGTAAGTAAACCAATAGAGAAACAGAGTTCAGGGACAAAAATATGATCTATTAGAAATGAATAAATACTATTTTAAATAACCACTGGGGAAAAAATCTAAACAAAATTAATTACAAATTATCTAGAAAGTTAGAAAGAGTTGATTGTTCCAAAAACAAAGCTATTTATCAAAGAAAAATCTAGTCTTAAATGTTCTGTTATTAGCAAAAATGAGTAAGACTAGGTCAAACTAAAGAACTTCTACACAGCAAAAGAAACAATCACAAAATAAAAAGGCAACCTACAGATGGGAGAAAATGTTTGAAAATCATATATTTAATAAGACATTAATACCCAAAATATGCAAGGAATTCATACAACTCAATAGCAAAAAAAAAAAAAAAAAATCCAATTAAAAAATACGTAGAAGAACTGAACATTTTTCCAAAGAAGATATACAAATGGTCAACAGGTACATGAAAAGATGCTTGACATCACTAATCATCTAGGAAATGCAAATCAAAACCAAAATGAGGTATCACCTTATTCCTATTAGGTTGTCATCAAAAAGACAAGAGATAACAAGTGTTGGCAAAGGATATGGAGAAAAGGAAACCCTAGCGCACTGTTGGTGGGAATGTAAATTAGTGCAGCCCCTATGGAAAACAGTGTGGAGTTTACTCAAGATATTAAAAATACAACTACTATATGATCTAGCAATCACACTTCTGGGTACATACATAAAGGGATCAAAAACCATTATTGTACACTCCCATGTTTGCTGCAGCATTATTCACAATAGCTAAGTTATAGAAACAACCTAAATGCCTCCTGTTGTAAGAATGAATCAAGAAATGTAGGGTGTGTGGACGCCTGGGTGGCTCAGTGGGTTAAGCCGCTGCCTTCGGCTCAGGTCATGACCCCAGGGTCCTGGGATGAGTCCCACATCGGGCTCCTTGCTCAGCAGGGAGCCTGCTTCTCTCTCTCCGCCTCTGCCTGCCTCTCTGCCTGCTTGTGTGCTGTCTCTCTCTCTCTTCCTCTCTGACAAATAAATAAATAAATTAAATCTTAAAAAAAAGAAAGAAATGTAGGGGGTGTGTGTGTATAATAGAATATTAGCCAATAAAAAAAGGAAATCCTTTCACTTGTGACAACATAGATGAATTTGGAGAACATTATGCTAAGTGAAATAAGCCAGAGAAAGACAAATACATGTAGAATCTAAAAAAAAAAAAAAAATAGTGAAACTCAGAAACTGAGGGTAGAAAAGTACCTGCCAGGGCTCAGTGGGGGAAAGAGACGTGAATAAAAGAATACAAACTTTCAGTTACAAGAATAATAAAGTCTAAGGTCTAAAGATCTAAAGTATAATACAGTGATTCAGTTGATAACACTATATTGTGTAGTTAAAATTTGCTAAAAGAGTAGATCTTAAATGACTGTACCAAAAACAAAAAGATAAATATATGAGGAGATACATGTATTAATTAACTTCGTGAGGGAAATCCTTTCAATATGTATAGGTGTATCAAATCCCCATGATGTACATGTTAAATTTCTTACAATTATATATGTCAATTTTACCTCAATAGAGCTAAAATTAAAACAAACAAACAAACAAAAAACTCTAACTCTTCTCTAAGTGTAGGTTCCCAAGACTCAGCCTAGAGTGGGCAAGGCTAGAGCTTACAGTTTACTCACGAGATAATGGCTGCTCACCTGCTGCCTGCCAGAAGCTTTGCTAGGTGCTAAAGACACAGAGACTAATCAGAAAGATATGGCCCTGCCCCTTGGAGCTTGTGATCCAGTCAGGAAGCAAAGAATTATGCAAAGCTTTAATTACATTGTGACAGTCTATGAAAGCATGGCACAGTAGATTTAACCTAGTCTGGAGCTTTCAGAGAAGGCTTCACTAAAGAAGTGATATTTAGGCTAAACACTGAACTAGGTAGGAGGAGCTAGATAAAACTGAGGGGAAAACAGCCTTACATGTATATTGTCCACCTGTCCACCAATTTGAAGGCTTTCTACATGCAGATAAAATACCAGTGAAGCTCCCAGAGCCACCTGGGAAATCTCCCCATGTCACACTGGTATCAATAAAAAAAAATAAAAATAAATAAAATATGGAGGAGCCTCTTCTTCCCTCTGGGGTCACAGAACTATGAGACAATGAAGAATCCCAGAAACACTTACTCTTTCCAAAGTCTACTGTACAGGACAGAGAGCTTAACCAGCTTTTTTTCCATTGCAAACTTAGGCACGGGCAGCAGTATAAATGCAGTGCCAAAGTGCCAAACTCTATGACTGAAAGCTAAATTAAACAGTGGTTTTCAAACAAGGAAGGAACTCTGGACACAGAGGAAATTAAACATCAGCTTTGGGAGATTGCTCTAATTGATAGGATTACTTTAACAACTGTGGTTTTGAACA